TGTCTTCAGGGCTTTTTGTTTTATCTCTTCATCTTTCAGTACTTTATATTGAGTAGTATGGTTTTTCAAATTTATAACATCTTGTTCCATTTTTGCTACTTCTGCTGCTTTTTCTGACACTTTTTTCGCATATTCCTCTGTACTTAGTTCTTTCAGTTGTTCTTCTTTCTTCTTTTTCTCTACGTTTAACTCATTGAGTTTCTTTGTGTGTCTGTCATATTCTAGTTTCTTTTCGTTTTCACTTATTTGTTTCTGTATGTCTATGTTTGACTTTTTGACATCTGTTATTTGATTTTTGAGTGAACTCAAATTCATTTGACTTTGAGGGTTATAAGCTGTTCCGTCTGCAGCTCCACCATAGCCTGCCATTTTCGCTAAAAGTGCCGCTCTTAAACCTCCACTCTGTGCACCAATAACTCGGTTTAAAAGCATAGGGTTGCTTGACATTTGTTGCAACATAGTGGGGTCATTCATCATTTGTTGTTGCAACTGTTGTTGTGGTGTTAGTTTTACTATTGGATGTTTCAATGCTCTCTTCCTCTTACGTATATTCTTACGTAGCTTACGTGGCATTTTAAGTGAAGTTAAAAAGCATATATACGAAGAAGTCATGAAAATTCAAGAGGTTAGAAAAGAGGTTAGAAAAGAGGTTAGATCTAACCTTCTACCCTAAACATTATTTTTTGGTCCTTTACACTCATTACGAAGAAGTCTTGACAAAACATTTACGAAGAAGTCATGAAAATTCAAGAGACCCAAAGGGTCAGAGCCGCAAAGCGGCTAGGTTAGAAAAGAGGTTAGAAAAGAGGTTAGATCTAACCTTCTACCCTAAACATTATTTTTTGGTCCTTTACACTCATTACGAAGAAGTCTTGACAAAACATGAAAACATATATAATTTGTGAAAAGTGAAACAAAAGGCTGGTCGGCTGGGGCTCCGGTCCTCCTCTTGGGTCTTGGGAAAAATTTCTTATGGGCTAGAAGGCACGAAGTGCCTGGAAGCCTTCCCAATAAAAACTTCATTTATACTAATCATCTTCAGGGCTAGAAGGCACGAAGTGCCTGGAAGCCCCACTACCTTTTTTTTTTTTTTTTTTTTATAATAGCATATGTAATAGCAATATGCTTGACGTTTGGGAGAGTAACAAAGTTGCGCAAAAATCTGACACACCTTTTGTAAACCATAATTTTTGTACACCAGAGCCCCAAGTTTCTCTTGGAAGAAATCTCATATGAGTTTACATTGTCAAAAATCATAATTTGACAGTTTACAAAAATTTACATTGAGATATCAAGGCAAAGTCACTTTTCGAAAATTTTGGTTTGAATCGTACAATAAGATTTGATCCTGGCCATTATTGTAAGATTTTTTTAAAAAACTTCAATAAATGGGCCAAGAGTTACAAGAATGTCGAGTATTATGATGTAGAAAACGACGAATTTGTTCTTTTAAAAAAACCTTTTGATAAATTAGGCGACATATTAGAATGTTGGCTTAAATTTGTTGTTAAAATAAAAGATCTCGCCATACGGAAGGAGCAGTGGCTTAATTGCTTTGATCATTTCCTTGGAGATACTTCAAAAGATATTTTCAAAAGTGACAAAAATTATTATTTATGAGAAAACGGTTTGAGGTTTCCAAGATTGCAGGAAATTTTTTATGATTTTCGGGAAGATCAATGGGTTTTTATTAGACAAGTTGCAGCAGAATCATCAACTCAGATGGTTGAGTCTTGGAACTCCGTAATTTAATTGAATCGTAAACCTTTTATTATTCAAATCTAATTTTTTTTACAAATATATTTCGAGATTCAATACCAATTCATCCTATATTTATAGGTGATATAATGCTACTAGAACTAATTATGACATTATGCTCCTTTTCGGCTAATTTCAGTTTTTTATAGATCATGAAATTATCTAACCTTATCTGTCAAATAAATGATGAATTTATAATTTAATCATACCATATTTTCTAATTTCATTACATTTATTGGATTGAACCAAATGCAAAATTATAAAATTTCAACTTGCTCTTTATTTTGAAATAAAAATATTTTAAACAAACCATATAATATATACTTCTTTTATTTATACTAAGCAACTTTAAAAAACTGTGGGTCGGAGCACCCCCTTAAAGATGCACTTACCACTTTCTGACATGTTCTTAAAAAATTAATATATCTTTATTTTAATAGCATAAAAGTATAGCAGCCATATTAGGCACTATATAATGATTGATAATTACTTTTTCCCGATCTAAGATCTTAGAAAATTGGCATATAAAGCTTAGGTGTCAAAAAAATTGAGAGAATGTCAGAAAATGGTAAATGCACCATTAAATTTATATACATATATATAAAATATGTGTGGAGCTTCCACGGCTAGCGCTGCTCTAGCCCCGAGATATTTTTTTATTTTATTTTTTGTAAAATGAAAATGTTTATTCTTAATTTGTGTGTTTATTCTTGCGGATGCCAACAAACTCAACATAGTCTTGGTCAGAGTTACTGGAGTCTTCTTCATCCGATTCATTGTCTTCGGCAACATGTCCAGCAATAAAGATGGATATCTTTCTGTTTTCTGGTTTCTTAATGAGAAACTTTGCCGCACCAGAGAAAACGAACTCAACATTTTTCGCAAATTACCTTGTTGAATGTGTGAATTCAACAATGGTTAGAGGCTTTGCAACATCATTGGTTTTAATGGACATGAAGGAAACAGTTTTGTCAACAATAACGTCATATATTTTTTACTTTATTTAATAGTTACCGTTGACAAAACCGCCAATTTTCAAAATTGAGAGAACTTTAAATGTTTTGTTTTCCACATATAGGTCGTTCAGTAATTGCTTAGCATCTCAATATACAATTAAGATATTTCTATTCTGATTTCATATTAATAATTTGTAATGATTGTAGCCTATTGTATTTTTAACATCAAGTCTCAAATACTAAATATGGGTGAGTTAGGAAGGTTTCAATTGCCCTTTTTCATATCTAGTTTGTAAATAAAATTGTCCTTTATCTATTTAATAACATGCCAATGCAATATGGTGAAAAATAAAATAGAACAGCTTACTCAACATAATATGTGATATGTGTAATGTTATATTTAGAAGATATGTCAGAACAATTTGTTTAATACAACACGAAAATGGATTTTTTTAGTGCGGGAACGTTTTTTAAAACTGGAATATTAAAATATTGGAAAAAACATAATCCAAGTATATTCTACCATATTAAAATACTTAATGTTTTACTATAATATGGTAACTTATTTGATTCTTTTAATCTATATTTATGGTGTTATATAAAAAATAATTTATAGTGAGTTTTTTTGTCAAAAATCATCGAATTAATTTGTATAAGTGGAAATCTCCAAATCATTAAGATTATACAGAATTTAATATGTAATTCATTAGTTCATTCTTCCTATTTTGTTGGGTACATATTTTGCCTCCTGAAAACTTTGTTAACAATGAAATAAAAAATCATAATGCTTATCATCTAAAAATTTTGAAACATAAAATTAGAATTTCTATCTTTGGGAAGTTTATTTAATTATTTCTTCTCCAATAACAATTTTAAATAAGAATTATATAAATATTATTTAGGGGGCAATACCAAGTGAGGTGATATGCACCATACCACGATCGTCCGACCAACATTTTTAAAGAGCAAAAATTGGATTAGAGAACTCTAAATAGTATAGACAATCAGAGTATATTGGACTGCATATCATATTATGATTGTAAAGAAATCTGGCTTAAACAAAAAGTATCTCATTTCGATATCATACAAAATTTCTGAGATAATAGCAGGGCGTATCATGTTTGTCCTGTATATACGTTTGGCGTATATGGTATGTGAGAATATTAAGTATTTATTTGGAATAAATTATGAGATTGTCAACTTTGATCGACAATCGCATTTGATAATAGAGGGACCATTTTGTTTATATGTGTATTAATATATTCTAATGTGTTTAATCAAATAGGTGCAGAAATGAGAAAAGATGTCAAACTATTTATTAATGTTTTCCGATCTGAGTGCATATTTGCAGGGTCTTGCCTTGGCACCATGCATCTATGTACTCAGATCGGAAAAAGCTTGCACTTTTTGGCACGAATGTCACATTCGAAATTTGTTTCTCGAAAGGAGTTTACAAATGCAATAGACTATCCTATAGTTAGTATGGCTTAGTTGGGTACGGCGGCACTGCGCGCCTCCTTACCCATTATATGTGAATTTGACACTTTACAAAACCGTTAACGTATATTTTACAAATCAAACGACAACACTAACTTAACCTTAAATATTTACAAAGCCGCCAACCACTTCACCTCACTAACGAACTCACTAATGAAAAAATAAACGTTCTCATAAATTTTCTTCTATATCTTCATCGTCAATGTTAACTCTATTGTAGTCATACTTGAAGTCATAAAGTTTCTCAAGTTTTGAAATGCATAGTCTTGTTAACTTACCTTCATCATCATAAGTTTTTATAAAACTACCATGACAATCTTTATACACAGTCAATGTATAATCTACTGGTCTAGGATGAAGTGTAAAGAACATGTTATACTCAGGAAGGAAGAATAAATGTTTAAATGTATGTTTGTTATATTTTTCGATTTGTATGAGTTGCTTTTGTTCTGTCATTTATATAAAAATAAAATAAAAAATAAAATAAAAAATAAACTTAAAAATTAATGATATCACCACCCTCACACGTATGAAAACATAGCACAAAAATAAATTTAGGTGAAGTGGTGAGATCTCACCTCTTTTTTCACCTGTTTTTTTCACCCTGTTGAATTCATTGCTTTATAACTCTCTTCCTTGGTTTCTTTTTAGTTGCTTTCTTCACGTCTGTCTCCAACTTGACTGTCTTTCTTCTTCGGCCGTAATGATACCAGTTACTTCCACCAGTCAATGGGTCAAATGGTCTTTCGTAAGGGTTTCCATACATTCCATAGGGACCATACGGAAGAACTACTGGTGGAGAAGAAACATTTTTTTAGTTCCATCGACTCTATTTAAATGCATTGTTTCACCTTTCATCTGGTCATTAAAGTCTTTTGCGTGTTTTGCAAACTCATCGTCATTTCCTAAAGCATTTTCTGACTCAGTCGCAACCAAATTGGATGCTTTATTTATGAGCCCTATTTTATTTAATCTTAACTTCTTTACAACCCAGCCTCCAATCTTCCCTTTATTTGCATCTAATGTCTTCGAAACCCTTCCTCCACTCATTTTATTTACTGCGTCATAAGCTCCAAGTGCTTTTGCTCCAAATGCTAATGCTTTTGTTCCCATTGCGCCTAAAGCTGCCCAAGCTACCATTTACACCATATTAAAATCATCTCTCTTCAATATTATCTCATAAAAGTTCTCGTTACTGGAGAAAGTCAATGAAACATAAGCGTTCTCACGGGCTTCGCCCTCACCGCTTTGCGGTCTATCTAACTTATTTCTTATCTCATCTATTCGCTTCAAAATGTCTGAACAATTGCTAACATCTTCTACAACAGTTATTTCATCATGAATGACCTTCAAGAACAAGCTCATTTAATATGCTATAAAAATCATCTCAATAATGAGTCCATCCTTTCCGTCTTTAGGTAGCACAACATCTTTCATTGAAGAAGGTTCGACAAGTCTTATGTTAAACTTACTGACAAAGTTTGTTATACTATAATGCTTCGGCGGCGAATACATGTAGTTTGAAAGACATAATATAGATTCTTCAGCAAATTCACTTATACTGGATTTTATAACAATGTTCTCACGAGACCAAATACCACCAATTGACAATCTTGTAAGCAATCCTGCTGAACCTTCTACTGTAAACGTCGATGGTAACATTCCATGAAGGTCATCTATTGACATCTTTGAGTCACTGAATTTAAATATTTTCTTAAAGCAATCGTCATTATCTAACCACGTAATAGCTTTGAAGTTTTCATTCGAATATACATCTGCTTCATTAAATGTAAAACCTGACTTCTTTGCAGAGACGACTTTAAAATCTATTGAGTTTGTTTCAAAATTATATGCTATGGTAACTTCTGAAGGTAATGGATGTCCTTCCGCAGTCAGTTGTTCTCTCACTACCATTTGAAGCTTTGTATTAAAAACTTTCATGTCATCTCCTGTGTCTAGGTTCACATACACAGCAACAGGAAAACTATCTTGCTTCTTTGTTTCATCATTATACCTCAAAACATTAAAGTTCTTCAATAATATTGTTCTTCCTGCTGGAATACTTCGAACCTGTCTGATTTCAATAGCTTTCTCACCTCCTACATACTCTACCCAGTGTCTTGGATATTCATAAGTATACTGACTTTCTTGAATTTTGGTAGGTTTCATCATAACGTGTTCATAGTATATCTTTATACTCTTGTCAGTTAGACTCGGTGCTATGTTCTGAATATTTCTGACTTGCATTTTTAATGGAGATAAAATGAAGCATTTAATACATGACGTAGATGAAGACATGAATGAAACTACAGACAAACTTAACTCTTCTCTCATTCTTCCTTTCAGTAAGGACTATGAGTTCTGTTCAAATGGTGTATATTTCTATTGTGGAAAGATGGGTTCAGGTAAGACATTTAACCTCATTCGTCATATACTCATAACAGAACGTTTAGGAAACGATTCTTACTATGACCAAATCATTATATCAGCAACTTCAGACTCTATGGACTCAACAGCGAAAACATTTATGTCAAAAGTTCAAGCCTCTGTCGTTAAAGTTCCAGACAGTGAACTCATTGAATTTCTTCAACGTTACATTCGACGTAAGAGGAAATATTATGCCATCGTTGAATTTATACAGTCAGGAATGCAAAAGACTTCTGAGGAGATGGAAAGAATTATTGACAAACACCACTTACGTCAGTACTCAGGAGTTTACGATATGAAACGACTTACAAACTACATTCTGTCAAAACTTTCAAAATACCCCTTCAAAAAATATCCATCAAACACTTTATTAGTTTGTGACGACTTCGCTGGTAAAGGTTTAGTGTCAAAACCAGACTCACCATTAGCTAACATCATTACTAAAGTCAGACATTACCACTTAACTGTAGCAATACTTATGCAAACATGGAGGTTTTTAGCTTTAAACATAAAACGTCTCATAACTGACTTCGTTATCTTTCAAGGTTTCTCACGTTATGATATTGAACTCATTTGGAAACAGTCAGGTATAACATTACCTTTTGAAGAAATTTGGGAAGCATATAAGTCTCTCATCTCTCCTCGTTCATACCTTGAGATTCATATCATGACTAATACCATTAAAGTCAAAAATATTCCATGGGAACGACCAACATTGTTTTAAAGTTTAACCTTCAATTGACTGATGGTAAACAAATTCCATGCATCTCTGTCGCCATTTCTGTTAATATTTTTGCTGTCATTCATATCATCCACTTCCCCATCCGTTAGCTTTTGAGGATATGCGTTAGAATAGCTGTTCTTAAATGAAGGCTTTTCACCTTTGAGAGCATAAACTCTATAACTTTCTGCATACTTTATGTTTGAACCTCCTGAGCCATCATTGACATAAATTTTTATAGGCTTCCACCCTTTGTTCATATTCCTGCTTCTTCCCTTTGCTCTTTTGTTCAGTAGTTCTACATCTTTATACACAGCTCCTGTCTCAGTGAATTCAACAATATTTTCATTCGTTAGCTTTACATTCAAACCCTTGTCGAGTATATTGTTCATTTCATACATATAAAATGTTTTTATTCTATATGAAATGAGAAGCAAATCCATCTTAGCTGGTGCCGTTAATGTTCCAATTGAACCAACATCAAATGTTGACTCACGAACGACAAACAATATTGTCATAAAGAACTATAGTTCAGAGTGTTTGAAAGAAAAAGAACCAGAACTTAAGTCGGGACCTTCGGTCTTGGAGCATGGCGCCGTGAATTTAAACACAGCTTCAAACGCTAACGCTACATCAGATGTTAAGTTAGAGTATCCACCACTGGACCAAATTCTTTCAAGAGAAGCCAACGACAACCCTTACACAAATGTTCAAACAAATCCTTCAGATAACGTAGACCATTACCTTCTTCAGTTATACCAAACAATTTTACTCAAAGACGATAAGAAGCTTTTGACAAATCTTATAAGCAAGAACCAAATAATTCTAACAAAGGAGGACCTTGAAAATGTTATCTCACGAATAACAGGGAAACAATGTGTCATTGACTATCTCGACCCTGAAATCGAATGCTGTGGTCAAACTCCACTATTCATGAAAATAGGTAACATCCGCATCATTGAAACACCAGGAACTACAGGAGTTGAGTTTAAGTATAAATATTCGAACGAGTATACAAAACTATCTACTGACTATAAGCTTTGTTTGAAATATGTTTTAGTAAATTAAAGCAGTCAGGACCTTCGGTCTTGGCGCTTTGCGCCGTCAGTCAAAAAATTTCAAGTTAGCAATTTGTAATATCTATCCAAAACTTCTTCAACAGTATCGAACTCATCTTCATAATGCAAACCTAATCTTATTGACTTGGTGCAGTTTTCACTAACACAATATTTTTCTGTTCTCTTGACTGACATAACTAACTCATTTGTTTCATCAAACAGCAACAACCAAAGTTCATGACCTAATACATAACATTCATACTTTATATTTTTAGCTCTGAGTTCTCTTGTAAGCTGTTGCATTTAATATTTTCTAAAAAGTCAACTTCAACAGTCATTCGCACTGGTGCCTTCAGTTCTACAGGCTCTCCTTGAAAGTCAACAAGTCTGAATTGCATGTCTTTCAAATTATGAGGACTAATGCGAACCCATTTACCTAAATGAGTTGCTATGACAGGAACGTTTGGAATGAACATTGAATTGACTGCATAACAGAAGGATTTATATTCTACTGAACCTTTACTATTAACTCCTGAAATACCTGTGACATTAGCTATTTTAGACTCAATGTATAAACAGTTGCCATAACATACATATGGAACAGATTTCATCTCAATCGTTTTGTCAACACTTTTCAAAGGAAATGTCATATGGTATGCACCCAGAAGCAATTGTACTCTATGACTCATTCTTGGTATCTTAAACTCTTTCTCGCTGCTGAACTTCAATGTTCCCTCAGAAGAGAGTTCGACATCTATGTTGTCAATAGTTTCTTCATTTATGAGAGTATTTATGACTCCAGCAATTTTATCTATTCTATACCCAGCTCTGTTAGGAAATGTTATAACACTTCTTTTGTCATCTATTTCAATCTCTATGAAATCTGTTTCATCTGTTATGACAAAAGTTGCGATAGTATTGAAGTCAACAACTCTGAAAGCAAACGCTTCATTCTGAAGACCTAAGTTTGTTTGTAGCTTTACTGTCCCGTATTCGTTTGGGTCTGTACTTTGCAAATAGAACAACATTTTATTCTCATTAAAATATGACTATTGCTGCATATGCGTATGAAACAAATGAAGCAAGAAGAGCACATGAACTAGTAAACGAAAACTCAACTTTAACCATTGAAGGCAATGATTTAGTCATTGACGATGGAAAGACTAAAAAAGTCATTGATTTCGATACTTTTAACACTTATGACCCATTCATTACAACAAGTAAAGTTCCTATCATAAATGATGGAACGGTGCAATATATAAATTCTACAGTAGATGCCTCATTAGTGAAAGTATTAAATGTTCTCATTGAATTGTTAAAGAGCTTTCGATTTGACGACAACATTAAATGCCTAAAGAATTTAGTCATAAATGAGAAACAAATTCTCGGCGTTGCTGGTAGCAGTAATGATGTACACCTTATGACATTAGAATATTATAACGAATATAAAGATGAACTGAAAGGAGAGAAGGGTGACACTGGACCTCAAGGACCACAAGGAATACAAGGAATACAAGGAATATAAGGACCTCAAGGCGAAAACGGTTTGGATGGTGAAGATGGAAAAGGATGGAAAAACTGCTAAATCATGGATATGGAACCTTATAAATACTGGTTTAACAGCTGCTTCATATGGAGTTCTTCAATACCAAATCGGAAAGATATGGGCAGTACTTGGTGAAGAAGTTTTAGATGACGTTAAAAATGCTTTGAACTTCATTTCAAATGGTTCTGATACTATTAAAACTTTATCTGGTTGGATGCAAGAAACAAGGAGTCAAATAGATACTGTAAGACGTATAGCAAACAATGCACGTACGGGATTGGATACTTTACGAGAAGCACAAAATACACTAAAGGAAGCAAATATATATTGGCTCATCAGTATCAGACATGCATGAAGATTGGCTTAAAGGTATTGACAAATCTTTAAAAAATCACAGTCAGTCTATTGCTGACTACAAGAAAAGTATAGATTTTTTACATAGTGCTATGGACGTACATGATGGAAGCATAAGGAACTTACTTAATGCTAACAATAACTTACCAGGAACTATTAAAGCATTTATAAAGTCCTTTGTAAAACCTGGTGCTCTAACATTTAGGTCTTTGAGAGCAAGAGCATTGAAGTCAAGAGATGCAGAAACTCCAACAGAACCTATAGAAGGAACTGAAACAACAGAAACTCCAGAAGAACCACCAAAACCAACAGCTAATGAAATATTGTTCGAATATTTTCCAAGATACTCTGTCCTCATTGCATACATTCAAGAAATACTTAAGAAAGCAGACTTGACTTTAGGAGATGATGAAAGTTCTGTATATCTTTCGTTCCAGTTTCAAATAGCAGAACTTTTGAGACAGATATGCTTAATGTATGACAACATCTCTGATTTCACAAGATATGATGACGACCATGACCCCGAACACGGTGAAGAAGAAGTTTTACAAACATCCATTAAGACAGGAAAGGTTTTAACTCAAAGTCTCATTATTGACACCAAAGATGGCGAAGTGGACGTTCTTCAAGAGCTGAAGAAAAATACTTCTGAAGGAGGTGGTGGTAGGCATGAACTTGAAATAAATGAGATAGAAGAGAAATTAGCCGAAAAAGCAGATAAAAACCATGTTCATTATATAAGTTCAGACGAACAGATTATAACGGACTACCATGGATATTTAACACAGGATGAACAAATAAGCACTGAAGATGTTAATGAAAGAAGATATAAATTCATTCGTGCTAAAGGTTATGACATACACTGTACTGTACAGTATGACACAGGTAAAGCACCAGAAGCATTTGGTTATAACAATGAAATTTATGCTTCATACTTCTTTGTTAACGGTGTATTAGTTGAACCAAGATTTACTTTGAGAGTTAAGGCAAAAATAACTTTTGAAGATGCTATTAAAAGTAAAGCTGACAAAGATGAACTTGACGCAACGAACAAAGTTTTGAAATCTCATAAACACAATATCTCCGATATAAATGAACTTCAAGCTACATTAAATAGTAAAGCTGACAAGAACCATACACATGAATCCTTCACTACTGTTAGAGCAGACGATGTAATATTGAACTATACCCTTGGCTCAAGTGCACCTTTAGAGAATCCAAGTACAAGCGTAAAAGATACACTAAACTCCTTAAATAGTAAATGTATGAACATTGAAGGTCATGTCAGAAACTTTGAAACATATAAACTACCAGCAATGTTAGATAAAAAAGCAGATAAAGAACATACACATAACTCCTTCACTACTGTTAGAGCAGACGACATAATATTGAACTATGATTTGGGTTCAAGTGTACCTTTAGAGAATCCAAGTACAAGCGTAAAAGATACTCTTAACAATTTAGATAACAGTTGCAGGAATATCGAAGATCATGCCAGAAACTTTGAAGCATATGAACTACCAACAATGTTAGATAAGAAAGCAGACAAAACAGAGCTTCAAACATTACAGACTGAAATACTTCAAACATTATATCCTATAGGCTCTATTTATACGTCAATGAATTCAACAAATCCGGCAAGTGTTTTAGGTTTTGGTACGTGGCAGCAGATTGTAGATAAATTCTTATACTGTGCTAGATATTCAAAGCAAACAGGAGGATCGAAGAAAATTAAAGAAGCAAACCTTCCACCGCACACTCATACAGGAACTACAAACACAACAGGTAATCATTCACATTCAATAACAAAAAGAGGTTATACAAATCTTGCAGCAGGTTCGGATAGACAGGGAATGAATAGATATGATATTTCAAGTGACCCAGTAGATTCAAGCGCAGGTATTTTCTGTGGAACCACAGGAAATCATTCACACACTTTCACAACAAATCCAACAGGTTCGGGTGCAGATTATATGCCGCCTTATATGACAGTTTATGCATGGGTTAGAACGGACTGAAAGTCCTGAGCTCCAAAAGAGCGAACAGCATGAAATTTACTAAATTTAACTTTACATAAATGAGCTTGAAAGAAGTATTCGAATCATCACCGTGGAGGTCATTTAAGAAGTTCAATGAAGCTGCAAAGAGTTGGGGATTTACTAACAGAGCTGAAGTGAAAAGGTTCTTTGACAAAAATGTTGTACATCAAACAAAAATAAACCCTTACGACTACTTTTTACCAATTTACTCCAACACTCCTGACGCATACCAATTTGACACTCTCATTCAAAGCAGAAAAGGAGGACATAAACCATTCCTCATCTTCATTAATGTTAACACTCGCAAAGCATATGCATATCCAATGAAAAATAAAGGAACTCGTGAAGTGTTAAGAGTTTTACAAAAGTTTGTAGCAGAACATAGCCCAAGTACTTTAACATCAGACCAAGACAGTGCATACCTCAGCAATGAAATCACAGATTTTCTCATTAAGCATAACATAACTCACTACACTACTGAAGACCATAACCATAACATACTCGGCATCATAAACAGCTTCATAAGAACGCTCAGAGATTTAAACCAAGAGCGAGACTTTACCGAAGAAGCAATGAAACATTTTCTCGAAGTATATAATTCCTCAACACATTCTACAACAGGACATACACCAAATTCAATGACACAACAACAAGAAGAAAAGTATATACAAAAGAAACGAAGCCAAACACAAAATATCAGAAATTCAACACAATTTACCCTCATTCCTGGTACAAAAGTTCGTGTAGTTCTTGACGACAAACCGTTGACAAAGAAACGTTTAAGGTTAAGTAGAAACTATTATATCGTAGACTCTACGCAAGGTAATGGATATCTTATAAAAGCTGCTGACGACTCTATTGCGTTTTACCCTCGTCACAAATTAGTCGAAAGTAGTAATGGCAAACTTGCTGAAACCATTGACGAAGCAAAGCGAGGAGTGGTTATTGAAATACTTGGCTACAACATAAACGATGACACTTATAAAGTAAGATATGAAGGAGGCGTTGAAGATGTTATACCATCTAAGAACTTGAGAGAGTCAAAGCCAACACATCTGGGACCATTAGAGCGGGAGTACTGGAAAGACAAAAATAAGCCAGAAAGAATAAGAAAATTCTTCTAAACTTTTTCATTAGATGTAAATCAGACATGAATGAGAACAGTCATGTATTATTAATGTTTTCATAAATTTACACCAAAAATAATGTTTAGGTGAAGAGGTGAGATCTCACCTGTTTTTTCACCCTCGCCGCTTAGCGGCTCAGACCCTTTGGGTCTCACGAATTTTCATGAATTTCCTTAAGATAGAAAAAATAAAGTTAGTTTTATTTTTATTTATTTTTTTATTTTGTATAAAAGATATGATTTCAACAATCGGCACAACAACAATTCAAGCCACGAACGGCGGGACTCTGTCCACAACTACAGCACCAAACTCGTTAGTCATGAATCCTACGTCAATGTTAGTAGAAATGAAAAGCTTCATTCCTTCTTCATTTACTTTCGAAACAGAAATCCAGAAGATAAAGCAAGAACTTTTAACAAGTAATTTAGACTGTAGTGCGAAAGATGAAACAAATGAACAGTATCTTTATGAAATGGAGGACCTCATCGACCATTTGCCTAAACTACCTGAAATCCAACAACAAAAACTCACTATTCATGAATTCGACGAAATTGAAGTCAAAGCAACTGACTCAGTAGAAATAAAGAAGTTCATACGTAAAGTAAACTATGAGTTTCTAGGATATCATTGCAACCATAAAGTTATGGACAAAGATTGCGACATGGTATATAAGAACATCTCTGACATATATAAATCGGGGGAGTTTAAGACATACGACAACTTTGTTTCATTAGCTGCAAAATGTGTATGGCAGATAAGAGATAAAGATAGAAGAGGTAAGGTATGGCATGAACAGATAAAACCAACTGCTTCAGATTTAAAGAAAACCATTGACGCCTTAGTTGTTTTAGTTGGTTTTATTTCAATGTATAACGCAAAAATGAATCCGCAATGTTCAAAATGTAAAGCAGCAATAAGAAAATATAACTACTCAGTCAAAGAGATAGAAAGAATGCGAAACGACTATGCAGACTTAAAGAAAGAAGCAGAAAAGCCAGCAGAAGATAAAATGGACATGCTGTCATTTCTGAACAAAAACTATCCAACTGCTGACGATTTCCTTCTGTCTGACGTCAAGAAGAAGTAGAAAGAAACCTTCGGCATTGTTAAAACATTCGATGTACTAAAAGAAGAAATAGAAGCTACGAAATTGTTTAGGATTTCAAATATACATCGTACAATTCATGTAAAACGCTTGTGAAAAAAGAGGTGAAAAAACGGGTGAAATCTCACCTCTTCACCTCAATTATATTTTTGGTCAAAGCTTCCACGAGAAAAGATTCCTCATTCGCTAAGGATTCCAAAAATGAAAAAATCATTGATTTCGGCTGAGAAAAAAACAGCAAAACCCTTCATCCACGGAACAAAGAAATAAAGAAGAAATAAAGTAAATTTTTTATTTATTCCCGTGGAAGATAGAGCACTTTTATGACACTTTTATTCACGACAAACAAGACAAACAAAGAAAATAAGAAAATACGGCGCCGTCGCGGTTCGAACCACAGACCCTGACCCCTCCATAACACCACCTTAGACCACTGTGCTACGTAGCCTGTCGACATAAGATTTTATAAATTGCATATTTGACGTAAATTTATCTCCATCTGGCTTCCCACCGCATAAGATATTCATACGTGTTTGTAAGACATTCATTAAACTTCTTTTCTATTGCATCTAATCTTGCGTTATTTTTTTCAATAACTTGTCTGTATTCTTCATCATCTCCAGCAGTGTTTGGGCCTTCAGTTTTAAAATATTCATTGTTAACCAATTTTTTATCTACAAATTTTATTAGTGTTTGATTCACTTCGTTATGATAACGGTCATATTCTTTCAATACGTAAGTGAAGACAAAATGCGTCGTACCTTCAATCTTAAAGCTTAAAGAACTTTCAACACAGTTTTGAGGGTCTGTCAGTGCGTCAATGAGATAGTATTCGAAGTCAGTCAATAATCTTTTTAAAGTCATTTCATACAGGATAAAATTTAATGTTGTGAAGAAATAGTGTTTATCTCAGAAAAAATCACGCTAATTTTATTTTTATTTATTTTTTTATTTTGTATGTAAAGACAGTAATGACAACATTAGAGAACACAACAACAGTTATAGTCCATGAAGCTATAAATGAAGAATACGAGTACATACAGTATAACAAACAGTTACGTCTCATTCGTTCAGTCAAAGACGATATGTACCAAATGCAAAGTATAATGAACGCTCTTCGTTCTACAAAGCAAGCATATCATTGGTTTGAAAACCAACAGACAAAAGAACTTTTAGAAGAATTTCCTCATATGATTGCTTCCCTCGGAAAACCGGGGGAAGAGATTCCGTATGAAAATCGCAAGAATTTGGCTCCTGGTTTGAAAGGTTATTATATTCATAGACTTTTAGTAAATGCTGTAGCAATGTGGGCTTCACCTCGTTATGCTTGTTATATTTTCATGATGTTAGATGAACTATATAAAGCAGAACGTGAAGAGATGGAAAAGAAACTTCAAGCAAAAGATGAAGCAAAAGACAAAAGCATTCAGAAAAGAATACCACGTTCAGTACCAAAAGGAAAGGAAAAGAGTTATAAGTATATGATTTACACTGAAGAGATGGAAAATGAAGAAGATAAAGATATGTTATGTTGCATTTAGTCAGAAGAACAACAAGAGCTTTTACGACTTAGCTAAGATTTACAAATCTGACAGAAACTGGTTCTATCGTGAAAACTTACCGATTTCAATGACACCGAATGAACAAATAAAGGAAATTGTCAAAAATACTCTTCCTCAAACACACTATGACATCAAAGGTTGCACAATACTTACATTCAAAGAAGACTTAACATTACTGAAGGAAAAAATAACAGAATATTTCGATAACTTCAAAGAGGAAGAATAAAAAAATCTAAGCTAATTTTATTTTTTTATAAAATTTTATCTCATATGAAAGAACATGAATTTAGAATATTCGGAACTCATGACAGAAGAAGAGAACGAACAACATGTAAAAGATTATGCAAAATTTCTGAAGACATACAAAGCATTTAAACAATATCTAAATGCTTCTAAAGATTATGCAAAATTTCTGAAGGTATATAAAGCTTATGAAAAAGCGTATGAAAAGTTTATACATTGGGGAATTGTTGTAAAATATCGATATGAAGACTAACCAAAAATATATTTTTGCTTAAATAGCTTCAGGGTCTATTTCTTCAACCATTTCACTTCCTTCGTCAATTCAATAGAGAGCTTCTTCAACCTTTGGTAAGAATTTCTGTATAACATCTTTGTTCGTTATTGTCTTCAGAGATGAAGGATAATATTTCACATTTGTTTCACCCTTCTTATATTCTTTCTGTTCGGAAAGATTTAAAGCAATACTGAAGAAGTCAATATTAGAGTTCTTTATAACAGTATAATGAGTATCTTTGAGATTCACGAAGAAACTCTTTTGTTTCAAAACTACTGCTAACTCTTGTGAAGTATAACGTTTGCGGTCAATGACGATAGCTAATGGTCTGACATACTGGCCAAACTTAGATTCTTTCACAAACTTCTTGTTAAAGATAACATTAACATTTGAAGCATTATTGAACTCATTCTTGATGGCAGTAGCGAGAGCATTGTATGAAAAGAACTTGCAATCTTGCATGTGTTTCATTAAAATAAAAATATTAAATTATTTTGAAAAATAACTTTAAAAAATCTAATCTAATTTTTTCAAAAATATTTTTTTATTTCCTACTAAAGATGTATCGGAAGTTGTCTAAGTTAGAACACTCGGAAATAAAACAACTTCTTACAGAAGCTAACATAGAAGTAGCAAAACATTACGCAACAAACAAAAAAGCACTCTCTGACATCCTCAATGACTATAATGGTGCAATAAGTTATGATAGAATTCATGAGTTCATAAAGCTGCAACGCGGCGAGGACGAAGTCCATGCAAGAGCATTTCCTTTAAATGACGTTGCTATTGACTTATATCATAGACGTTCAGTACCTCATGAAGTAAGAAGAGAAATGTTTGACATAACAAATGCAAACGTTGGTGAAACAAGAAGAAGAGACGACACACTGAAACAACAGAGAAGAGAGATGTTTAAAAGTGCTATAGAACAAGTTCGCAAAGCTAACGATGTCATTCGTTCCATTGACGACAAACCAAAAGAAGGTGAGAGATGGTTAAAGAAAGATGAAGAGAATAGGAAGAGAAATGTGAAGTCAGGCAATAGACTCATTGACTTTAACATCGAAGCTTTAGATGAACCAAACAGAGACTACTTACACAAACATTTCGGTAAGGTTTTCATGAGACTCTTAGAGAAAATTAAAATAAACTCACAACAGAGATGGATGGTATGTTATAAACTTGGTGGAAAGTATGAATGTTCTACGTTAAACCTCAATAATATTGGAACATTACTACATCAGCTCTTGAAGGAGAACTTTATATCAGAGATAGAAGCAAATGCTGCAGGTATTGTTGAAATGCACTATGACTTCTTCTTGACAAACATAAAGAATCTTACCGAAATAAAGATGTATGATTTAACAGAATATGAAGGCTTAACGATGTCAGATGTAAAGAAAGGCAAACCAAAAAAGAGACCATATAGAGATGAAAGCACACTGACAAATGACCAGAAAGCCATTTTGGAAGCTCTTAAGCAAACAGGAAACCCAGCACTTATAGAAAGCTTTTGGAAAGATAATGGTGAAAAGAAGTTTTATAAGAAGAGAAGCGGTCAGTTCTGGAAGTATCTTTGCACATTACCTATAAATCTTGAGCGCTACCAAATCTTCAATGAACTGAACAAAAGAACTGCAACACTTATGACAGAGGACAATTGTTTCGTTTATGCTTGCATTCAGGCTGGAGTAAATGAAAACTATTGACCACATGAGAGAAGTCATTCGTGTTAGAGACTTTCCTCAAAGTAAAGTACAAGAAATTTCTGACGCAACAGGTATAGCATTTAATGTTACCATTGGTTACTTCAATGACTCAAGACATAATGAAATAAAGAGATACATACCAAAAGAATGTGAAACTGTTAGAACTATTGACTTACTTCTTGTTGAAGACCACTACATGCTAAATGAAAGATTACCAATGACAACATATTTCGTCAGAAATTACAAAGAAATTCTCAAAGCTTGTGGTGGAATGAACATTGAGAAACAAATGAAGATTTATACAAAGAGAGAGAACAAATATGTAGTTCGTTATGATAGAACAACACCACTATGGGATGTTATGAAAACATTGTGGGAGTGCAAATATTTCGAACCTATTTCTTATGGAGAACTTTTCACATATACGACTGACTTATATAAACAGAACCTTGCACCATTTAAAGATTTGACATATGCTCCAAAGTATTGTGTACAACTGAAGAAGAAAGCCGAGTCAAAAGAAGTAAATAAAAATAAGTGCAAGTTCATTCCTGAGCACGTTTTCTTTGCTGACTTTGAGTGTAGCACAGACGGCTTTCATAAAGCTTTTAACATATGTTACGACAGTGAAGATGGTTCAGTGAGTGAAAGCATTTGGGGTCAGAACTGTGCAACAGAATTTTTTTTGGAACGACTTCCTGACAAGAGTTTAATATATTTTCATAACCTCAGTTATGATATAAACTTCATCTTAAGACACATGACAGAAGTGAAAGGAACTCCCATCATTAAAGGTTCACGAACAATGCAAATAACTGGCTTATATAAAGGAAGGGCAATTATTATAAAAGACTCTTACAGTGTTATAAATAAGAAGCTTAAACTATTTCCTGCTATGTTTAACTTACAAACAGGACCGAAAGAAGTATTTCCATACAACTACTACAGCAGTGTTTTGTTAGCAAATGACAACAGAACTGGTGTCATTTCTGAAGCATGTAAGTTTATCCGGGATGCAGATACATTCATGAAAAACATAGATTCCATCAAAGGTTGCAGAATAGATGAGAACCACTTCGACTTAGAAAAGTATAGCACATTTTATTGCAAACAAGATGTAAGAATTTTAAGAGAAGGTTTTGTTAAGTTCCGCAATGACATATTGAAAGAATTTGATTTAAACGTTTATGACTACGTTAGTATTTGTTCTATTGCTAACAAATTATTTGAGAACAGAGTGTACTTCCCGAATGGAAATTTATATGACCTCTCAAATAAACCAAGAGAATTTATTTCACGCTGTATTCAAGGTGGAAGATGTATGCTGTCAGATAACATTAAACAAAAGAGCGAAAAGAAACTCATTGCTGACTTCGACGCTGTTTCATTATATCCATCCGCTATAGCAAGACTTTATACTTTAGAAGGTATTCCAAAGGTTATGAAGAAAGAAATGTTAAGCACAGAGTATCTCATGAGACATTTATTCGATGACGACCAAAAGGAACCCATTGGTGAAAAGTTTATGTCTGGCTTCTTTGTTCTCATTAAGATAACAGAGATTGGAATACATAGACACTTTCCTTTAATAGTTTGTGACCCTGAACTAAATCCAGAACTTAACGTTCCCAGAAGTTCAAACACTTGCTGTTTAATGTATGTTGACCATATAACATTACAAGACCTCATAAAATATCAAGGTGTCAAATGTGAAGTGTTGCAAGGATACTATTACGATGGAAACAGAGATATTAGAATAAGAGATGAAGTAAAGAAGTTGTTTGAGTTAAGGTTAAAGTATAAGAAAGAAGGAAATCCTTTGCAAGAAAATATAAAGCTCATTCTGAACAGTATTTATGGCAAAACTATTCTATCTCCTATTGAGTCAAAAATAACCATAGTAAATGACAAAGATGCTATAAGATATGCCATCAGAAACTACAACCATATAGTGAAGTTCGAAGGTTTGGATGGTTCAGATAAAACTATTTTCAAGCTAACGAAAAGCATTTGCAGACACTTTAACTTCTGTCCACTTGGTGTTAATATTCTGTCAATGTCGAAGAGAATAATGTGTGAAGTATTCTGTACTGCTGAAGATATGGGTCTTCAAATATTTTATCAGGACTGCGATAGCATGCATATTTTCAATGAAGACATACCAAAGCTTGCAGCAGAGTTTAAGAAGAGATACGGTAGAGAACTTATAGGAAAGAACCTTGGTCAATTTCATTCTGACTTCGCAGAAATAACACCTGGAAAACAAAGTTTAGCATACAAGTCAATATTTTGTGGAAAGAAGACTTACATAGACTTACTCACGAATGATTTAAATGAAGTTGCATTCCATGCACGTTGTAAAGGTGTAAAACAAGACGTTCTTGCTTTAACAGCTAATGAAATGTTTCCTGAAGCTATACAATGCTATTACAATGAAGATAAGAACATTCACATACCTGTTGGAACATATGACAAAACTCTGAGTTCAGTTTAATGAAACTTTACAAAGCACTTTATGACGGTCAAGAGATTGGATTTGACTTATGTAAGTCATGTCAACCTTGCTTTGAAGAGAAGTTTAACTTCTCAATAACGACTAAAACAAGCTTTATTCGTAAGTTGAAGTTCTGAGGTCATTTATTTTTGTCAGCAATGAGGTCATTCGTGATAAAAATAAGCCGCTAGCGTAGATTTTACAATACTGCGATGGTAGAGTTTAAGAGTTGTGCTTCAATGTAGAGACAGTCCTTATGGTCTGGAGGTAGCAAAACGGTGCTTTATGGTCATGAGTGGAGAACATGTCTATCCAAAACTCACGATTGAATCCAGTTAATTTATAGTATTTAGGGTTAGGAAGTGGTGAAGTTCTTGTATGACCAATGAACTCATTTTCAACTCCCTTACTTAAGTTTGAATATAATAAGCTTGCTTTCTATCCCAAATACCTGGAAATCTAATTTCGGAAAATTCATTTTTCCTCGGAAGCATTGCATCATAATTGAAAACATTCTTGAAATCATCACTTGGTTCAGAGATTTGAAATCTTATACGTAATGGATTTTCTTTTTTTTAGCGACTTCATTGAATGGTGAGAATACAATGAATTGACAGTCATGAGTTCCATCTTCATTTTCATTAAATTCATAATGAAAGTCTATAAGTTGTGGCTGACTACCTTCTTCTTTCAGTTGTGCAAGAAACTCACGTTCACGTAAAGGCTGTAAAGTTTGTACTTCAATATGTAAACTTTTTCTCGAACATCTCATTTAAATGAAATCATACATTGTTGCAATGTTGTATCGTCTTTAAAGTATTGTATATGTGAATGTTTTGGGCGCTTAAAGACTGTTCGTCATTTTCTATCTCGACTTGAAGTATAAAAGTCAACCTTTCTGAAAGCACGTGTTATATACATAGATGTTATGCCAATGTACTCTCTCTTCATTTATGTTCACAATCCAGTCTGTTGGAAACTTAAACGTTACTCTGTTCCCCTTTATTTTGACGTCAGGGTTTTCACTACTGAACGCAACAGATAAAGGTATTTGTCTATACATTTAATTCGGATAAAAATAAACCATTTACTCTTTCTTTGCTTTTGCTTCTTTTTGCTTTTCAGCTTCTTCTCTAGCTTTTTCGCCAGCAAACGTGGGTTCTTTTGTCTTCCAGCAGCTTAATGCAGCAAGTTGTTTTTCACTAAGTTTTCTCTTTGGTCTCTCTGGCTTTTGTTCTTGTTTTTGTTCCTTCAGTTCGGATAAAATTTGCTCACGAATTTCTTTCTTCAATGCTTCAACATCTATGACCCCTTGGGTCTTGTCTGTAGGGCTTGTCTGAGTCATTTGACTGCAGATAAAAAACAAATTAAAACTTTAACCGATGTAAAATGAGCTTGTCAAAATCAGAGCGAGAGTCTATTATATTTGACGCAGAGGAATACAACATCCTTTCTATTATGTAAGTCAGAGTAAAGATGGTAAAATATATAAGAAAAAGAAAGGTTCCATTAGCGAATACAGAGCGACAACATTAAGGTGTATGACAAGGGTGAAGCCGTGTTAAGCCTTCTATTCAAACTGAAAAGTCAATAGAACCAGAAAAAAGAAGCCAGATGTACTTTCAATAACGAACCAAGAGCTTATTGCGAATTCGTGAATTTCATTGAAAAACAAAAGTCAAAGAATCCTGACCCACCAGTGAAAGAAGTTGAGACAAAAGAGAATGTACAGTTCATTGAAAATGTCAAGAACAATTCCACCACGAATGTCAAGAAGAAGAGTGAGAAATAATGAAGTAAATAGATATTTTTATCCGAAGTAAATACATGCAGAGAACAGTTAAACGAATTTACTCCAGAGAGCATATTCATCAGATTCGCTCATATTTCGATATCATAGACAATGCAGTTCAAATTGGTGACACTAATAGAAAATATTCTGACGCAAAGATTCCATCACAACCTGGAACTGCTAAAGATAACACATGGGTAACATTCAATCTCTCACCTCCTGGTGAAAATATGTTGGACCTTTACAATACATTCATTACGTATAAAATGGAAGGTCAATTTATTGTAGATAAAGAAATTGGTTCAGGTTCCAATAAAACAAACCCACCAGGATTTTGGATTGGTTTCGATGACGCTTTCTATGCAGTTGCTGGATATCAAATCCTTGCAAATGGTCGTATCGTATATTCTCAAGACAACGCAAGAGAAGAAGCATATATAACTTCAAACTCACAAACTACCGAACAAATAAAGAAAGTAGATGTTTTCTCAAAGACTCGACATGAAGATGTATGGAGTCATTCGGGAACATGCAGAACAGGACAAATTGTTAGTGGTCCAATTACAGCAGGAAAATCATTTGATTTTAAGCTTCGTTTAAGAATTCCTGTTAGAAGATTCCTTCCATTAGAAGCTATTCGATTTATTCCAGCTTTTGCAGGAAACATTCAGCTTAAAGTAAAGTTCAGTAGCGACGCCTTACAATGCACATCTATATCTGTAAATGATATCATTGCTTTCAATCCAACTCTTAAAGTTGCATTTGCTTCAGATTCAAATCCACCGACAAATAAATTTGTTCCATGGAATGAACCATTCACTATGATAACGAAGGCAGTAGAAGCTAGTGGAACAGTTACTATTACAACTGTAACCCAGCAACTATTTCGAACAAAGATGGATTTTAATGAATGTTTCATTCATCCAAAGTCATTCTCTTTAGACCCTAACATTTATACAGAACTTGTAGAACATTATACAAACGAGGCTTTATGTTTTCCTGTTAAAGTTATGGATTGGATTCCTATGGACGGTTCATTCTCAAAGAATACAGATAGTTCAAGTGCAACATTTACAGCAGCTTATACGCCTATTAATGTTAAAAGTATTTGGGCACTATTTAGAAAGAAAGACAACTATTATGTTAATTTTGAGAACCCTAAGTTTAAATATCTTCAGCTTTCCATGGGAGCTTATGGAAATATGCCTGCAGAACCTGAAAAATCATATGGACCTGTATTTTATGAAATGGTTGCGAACGCTGCAATACAAACAATGATATGATAGGATTTAATGAAGATGTTATGAGGTCATTGGTGGATGATGGTAGTGTGGAACATAAATGGGATAGCTATGACAACACACATTTCTTATGTGGTTTTCCAACAGAAGTGGACTTTTGCTTCCAGCAAGGTCAAACATCTACTGCTCCAATAACATACAAATTGTCTGTTAAAGGACCTATTGAACTAGCAACTGAAAATGTACCAAAGCCACTTATTGGATTTATGAGGGATTGTTGCTTTGCCATTCAGGTGCGTGCTAATGGAATCCCAATAATAAGATTAGATGACTATAACTTAGCTACGGACGACAGTGAGGAATAAAGGATGAACGTTTATTTTTAAAGCTTATAAATGAGTTCTTCATCAAGCTCTCGTGAACCTTCACCATCTATGAAACAAACTTTACCAAACGATTATGGAGCACCTATTGAATATTTCTTACGAGCTGCACAATGGCAAAGAGCAGTCTCACCAAGGTTAGGTGTTCCACCAGCTCCTGTCAAAAATAGCATTTGGTCAAGTCCTTATATAAGATATGGTCTCCCACTAGGTTTGCTAGCTACAGCAGGAGCAGTTATGATGTTGAAAAGAAATAAAGCAAATGTTGTAAATAATACTGAAGTAGCTGAAGTTAAACAAACTCCAACACCTTCGCCAAAACCAACGTCAAAACCAACGCCTTCACAAGCAAAACCTTCAATGACTCCTGAACCTATGGAAGTACAAACTCCTGTTCAAAAGTCAACTCCTAAACCGACTCCAACATTTAAACCAGAACCTACTCCTCAAATAAATCGTAAAACTCCTGCGTTTCCTTACTGAAAAAATAACGTTATTTTTATTTAATATTAAAATTTTTATTTGATTGAAATGACGACTAAAGTCACTGAAGCAATGAAACAAAAGTTTTTGGTAGAATACATTAAATCAGGAACTATTCCAGAAGGTTTTTACATTCATACTATGAAGGATGGTAGAGTTCAGTTTAGAAAGATAAAGCAACCATTAGATAAAGAAGGAATTTTGAGAAAGATTAAACTTCATGAGGACAACATTGCTGAACTTAAGAAGAAGTTAGAAGAGTTGGAGAAAGGAAGAGAGTTATAAAGCAATGAATTGAACAGGGTGAAAAAACAGGTGAAAAAAGAGGTGAGATCTCACCACTTCACCTAAATTTATTTTTGTGCTATGTTTTCATACGTGTGAGGGTGGTGATATCATTAATTTTTAAGTTTATTTTTTATTTTAGTTTATTTTTTATTTTATATAAATGACGAAAACTATTGAGATAACAAACTACAACGGTCATGAGTTCAAGAATTTGTTCTTCGTTCCTCGTGAAAATACATTCTATCAGATACGAGGGAGAAAGGGTAAAATTAGTTTGAGCGTTTATGACTACAAGCATAATGGAAAGTTTATACAAGCATATGATACAAACGGTAAGCGTGTTTCATTAGCTTTGTCAAAACTTACTAACATTTATTTTGACAGTGATTTTGACCTATATGAAGAAGAAAGTGAGTCAGAAGATTATGAGCTGTTATATGAAGCACAGCAATGGGAGGAGTTGCAATACTTTTGTAAGTGAGAACGTTTATTTTTTTACATTAGTGAGGTGAAGTGGTTGGTGGCTTTGTAAATATTTAAGGTTAAGTTAGTGTTGTCGTTTGTGTTGTAAAATATACGTTAACGGTTTTGTAAAGTGTCAAATTCACATATCATGGGTAAGGAGGCGCGCAGTGCCGCCGTACCCTTGATATGTATACTAACTCTTGTGTAGTGCATGAAAACTCCAAGATTCTAGAATAAAACATATATCATAGACATAATTTCTTCAAATATAATTTAAGGTTATTTTTAAAATTAGAAAAGCGTAATTTAAGGTTATTGAAAAAGTGACAGTTGGCAAATTTGTCCCGCACCCATTTTGAGACAATTATGTAAATAATATTTTAAATATTTGAATTTGAGGTATAATTTTATAGTAAAATATATTATAAAGAGTATTTATATAAATATTGTAAAATAATATAAGTAATAAAAATTGAGACCCCTCCCTGTTTTTGATGTTTTGTCACTTTTTCGGTAATTCTTATTGTTTCCCATGTATTTTCTAAATTATCAATTTTTGAATTTAAATATTCTATATTTTCTTGCTGTTCATTTTCAATTAAAAAAAAAAAAAAAAAAAAAAAGGGAATGGGGCTTCCAGGCACTTCGTGCCCTCTAGCCCCTAAGAAACTAGAGGAGGAATGAGACAAAGACCAGATGAAAAAAATAAAATATTATAATAAAATTAAATTTTTAGTCTTAAATTGTTTTTTTATTCGGTATATTCTGAATCTTGAATGTCTTGGAAATTTTCTTCTTCTTCGCTCTCTGAGGTGAGGATTTCTTCGACTTCTTCTTCTTCGCCATTGGGATCAACAAATCCTGCAATGAAAACTTTGTATATACCTTCTTGAGGAGTCTCTATGATGAAAGTCGTATTGTTGAGGAAATGGAACTCGACATCTTGAACAAATTGGCAACTGCTGTGTGTGAATTTTGCAATTGTGAGAGGCTTTCCTTTATAGCCCTTGGGAAAGCTTGAGATAGTTACTGTTCCTCCATATGGAACTCTGGCAGGAATATCTAAAGCAACAGTTGTTATAACGTGGAAATTGTCTACGAATTGAGGCATAGGTTCAATGCAGTATAGTCGTTTTGACTGGTTGTCTTTTGTGTAGAAATATAAATAGAATGACCTTTCACCATGTTCATTCAATTCTTCCAAATAATTGTATGAATTTGGATATAAACGGACAAATTCAGCAACTTTAACTTCTTGTAAATGCTTCTGCAAGTTCTTTGGAAACAAGTGAATGAACTGGTCAATAGCTTGCAACGCTATGAGATTGGCAGTAACGGGTAAATATGAAGCAAACATGTCAACAAGTACGCCAGGGTCTTTGATTTCGTTTTCAAGAGGCTGAATGGCATCCATGACAGCTTGAAACATCTCGTTATAATCTCGATTGTCTTCTGAACCCCACTGTTCATTTAACTTATCTAACAATTCTAACCTTTGCTTTGCGTATTTTCTACGAACTTTCTCTGAAAGAGGAGTGTCGCTATCTTGTGTGTCTTGAATTTGAGACTTAAATTGTTTGCAAAAGGCGAGATATCGTGTTTGCGACCTAGTGGTCATTGCAGAATGTGTTTCTGTATGTTCGATTGGATGTGTTTCTGTATTTTCGGGTGGTTGTGTTTCTGTATGTTCGATTGGAGTCTGATTGGTATGAACTTCTTCTGAAAATGCTTCTGTTCCGATAGTTGTTGTTGCTTGACCTGTTGGCTGAGCTGTATCTGTTGTGTTTTGAGAAGAAGAACTCAAATTGTTGGACAATTTGTTTGCAATTGTATGAGGAAGTTGCTTTGGTATTATAGGAGGTCGTAAGGGTTTTGAGAATGGTGAGACATAAGTTGTAGGAACTTTAACTGCAGAGGTAGTCGACGAATTGTTTGCAATTGTATGAGGAAGTTGCTTTGGTATTATAGGAGGTTGTAAGGGTTTTGAGAATGGTGAGACATAAGTTGTAGGAACTTTAACTGCAGAGGTAGTCGACGAATTGTTTGCAATTGTATGAGGAAGTTGCTTTGGTATTATAGGAGGTTGTAAGGGTTTTGAGAATGGTGAGACATAAGTTGTAGGAACTTTAACTGCAGAGGTAGTCGACGAATTGTTTGCGACACTTTTTCTTCCTTCCATTAGACAAAAATAAACTGTTTTTTTCGGACTACTCATAGAAAAGTTTAAAATAAACCGTTTTCGTCAACGGAGACCCCCTCTATTTTTTTATTTTATTTAATAGTTACCGTTGGAAAACCGTTCCATCTCAAATATTGAATGAACTATAAACGTTTTTTATTTTCTATATATACTTTTTTGTCCAACGGTAAAACTTTTTACACAACGGTTTTTGAGAGTCGTCGCTGTTGACCGAGTAGTTTTTTGTGCTGAACAAAAAGTGTCATATAAACATCTGTCAAAAACCGCTTTTTAACTTCACTTAAAATGCCACGTAAGCTACGTAAGAATATACGTAAGAGGAAGAGAGCATTGAAACATCCAATAGTAAAACTGACACCACAACAACAGTTGCAACAACAAATGCTGAATGACCCCACTATGTTGCAACAAATGTCAAGCAACCCTATGCTTTTAAACCGAGTTATTGGTGCACAGAGTGGAGGTTTAAGAGCGGCACTTTTAGCGAAAATGGCAGGCTATGGTGGAGCTGCAGACGGAACAGCTTATAACCCTCAAAGTCAAATGAATTTGAGTTCACTCAAAAATCAAATAACAGATGTCAAAAAGTCAAACATAGACATACAGAAACAAATAAGTGAAAACGAAAAGAAACTAGAATATGACAGACACACAAAGAAACTCAATGAGTTAAACGTAGAGAAAAAGAAGAAAGAAGAACAACTGAAAGAACTAAGTACAGAGGAATATGCGAAAAAAGTGTCAGAAAAAGCAGCAGAAGTAGCAAAAATGGAACAAGATGTTATAAATTTGAAAAACCATACTACTCAATATAAAGTACTGAAAGATGAAGAAATAAAACAAAAAGCCCTGAAGACATATATGGATAGCGATGAGTATAAAAAAGAAGTTGAAGCAAATGTAAAGGCAGAAAAACTTTTACAGTTGCAAAACCAAACCGTACAGTATGAAAACTTAGCACAAGAAAGTAAAAATAACGACGCGGCTATGCAAAAGGCAATGAAAAGCGCAGAATATATAAAAGCCAACAATGACTGGTTAGATGCCCAAGCCAACGCTAAAGCAGCCCAACTCATAGGGTCAATAAGGACAAAAATACAAGCGGATGAAGACAGTTCAAATGAAGCTTTAACAAATGCTGACTTTAAGAACGCCTTCGAAGCTCTTCATAGTAAGGTGAAACAAGTGAACGACTTCTCATCTGGAAAGAAACTGAAGTCTGAAGGTTTCGACAAAGAGTTAAAAGAAGTAGCACAAAATATGACGAAAATAACAGATGCAGCAACGAGACAGGCAGTTCAAAGTGCCTATGACGCCGTTAGAGCAACTGTTGTGAAAAGTCAAGAAAAAGAGTTACAACAGACCAAAACAGACCTAGTAAATGCTTTCTTAAAAACGAAAAGTCAGGTAGGACATTACGCTGCAGATGGAACATATGTGCCAGCTGGTGGAACTTATATACCAGCTGGTGGAACTTATATACTAGCTAGTGGAACTTATATACCACCAAACCCTCCAAGAGAAGCACCTGCACCAGGACTACCTAAAACATTTACATCGTCACATGGACACAGACACAGGCATGCACCAAAACCAACACAACAACCAACAGTTCAAAATCCAGCACCACAACAACAACCAACAGTTCAAAACACTGCACCACAACCAACAGTTCAAAACACTGCACCACAACCACAAACAGAGCAAGGACATAAAAGAAGTAGAGAACAAGGAAACCAAGAATTCTTAAAAATGCTAAAGGAAATATGGTTACCCAGATACTATTGACTTTAGTGACAGATATAAAGAAGCTATTAGAAAGTTCAAGGAAAAATACTGACCCGAACCTATTTAGCTTTATGGCTCAGCAAAATCGGATATAATTTCAAACCTGGAAAATACAAGCTCGCTAAGGGATATGATTTAATAGCATATCATCCAAATGACATGACTGAATTTACTCCGAGATATTTATGTCAGATAAATGATGATTCAACTTCTTCATGAAACGCGTAAAAAATAGAGACGGAACGAAAGAAGAAAGCTTATGAATGCGGATGACTTAATAGGGAACTTGTTAAAAACGGTCTCGGAATATATGAAATGCCAGCAGATGAGGTACAAGAAACTCCACAGGAAGAAGTTCAGATACAACCAGACATGGAAGAAATAGTTCAGCAACAACAGCTAGAAGAGCCTGAAGGAAACGAACAAGTCCTCCTTTGGAAACTAACTTCACAGAACTAGATGAAGATTTGGAACAGCCGAAAAATCTTGACCCTCAACAAGAGTATGCGGAGAATATGGAATATTTCCAAGAGTCTAAAAAAAATTCGGCTGACATAGTAGAAGAATATCGAAAAATGTTTGCCGACATACAAAAGACTCCAACATCAGATGAAAAATTCAGCATAGAATGGAAGAACTGAAAAAAAATGTACACAAATACAACAACCCTTTTTACTTACGAGCATTTAACGTTCAATCTTCGGATGAACTCGGTGAAAATAAAAGGTTAAATTTCAAGAAAACATATAGAAATGAAACATTGTTTAAAGTTCATTCAGAACCTAACCAATATGGAAACAAACCTACTTTTGTTTCTGCAGACGATGGAACTACAATGAGATGGGGTCATAAAGCTAATCCAGATAGGTGGTTCATAAACTTACAACCACAATTCCAAGAAGTTGTAGACGCAATGGAAGTCAATGGTGAACCAGATATAGCTGGTATTTTAAGCGCGGCTTTAATGCCATTGAAAGATATGAAACATGCAGATATTTTGGACCAGTATGAAATGAACATGGCTGATGGAAATATAACACCTGACGTTCTAGAACATTTATCTCAAAGAACTACACAGAACCATAGAGATGGTATATTTGGTGAAGAGTTTAGAAAGAAAGTTAGGGAGAGAGAAGGAAGAGAACCTATTGTACATGACCTTGCAAACGAAAGTTTACAAAATGTCATAAAAACTTACTTTGCAGACAATGAACGAGAAGGGATGAATATTTAAGAAAACTCAAATGGACAGTACCAAATGAAATGTTAGTATTGAAAAACATGTTCCTTGACAAAATAAAACCAACTACAGAAATAAACGACGCAAGACTGAAAGATTGGGTAAAAGCTTTCCCATTCACAAAAGATATAGTTGGTAACATGGAAAGAAAACCAGAATGGCTACAAAAACATATATTTGGAAACGAGCTTATTCCATATGGACAGGCACTGTTTGAAGAGCTTGAACCAGAAACTCAGGAAAGAGTCATGCAAACAATACGCGAAGACTCAAATACAGACTATGACAAACTCTTTCTAGGATATAGGTTACCTGAGATGGGCGACCAGAGCCAAAGGCAAAAAGGACATGGAAATTTACAACATACTAGTGAACATGAGGCAAAGATGCAACAACTTCAAGCAGAGGGCAATGAAGGAAAAAGAAGAGTTAAAAACTCAGTCAGGAAGAAAGTAAAGCTTGGTCCACGTGGGTTCTATTATGACATATAAATCCAACTATTCTATATTTTTACTCATATGAAATGTACGCCGCTCAGAATATAACGCCAACAGTTTTGGATGCTATGAATGGAAATGTTTCCGAATGGTATAACGAATGCGACAATGCCATTAGAAGGTCAGAAATAGTTCCTGGAACTTACGAATATACAACTGCTGTTTCTTATGGAAACGTAGGTGAGTTTGGAGAAGGTTCTTCAACAACAGTAGATATTGCTTGCGACAGGTTTCATATAATTTCTATTGACAACTCTTTCTTATACGTGGAACAAGACATTGAAATAAAACCTTCTGCCAAGTTGTCTGACAAGAAAGGTTGCAATGGAATTTTCTATGTCGGATACCAATATGCTCCAGAAGTTTTCATGGGATATAAGATATATTCTAACTCTGACTTAGTTCAAACAGTAACATGGGCAAACTATGAATGGTTCGCTTTGAGAAACTCAGTACAACCACAAGCTAGAGAACAAACAGACCAGTATGCAACTATTGAGAAAATAAGAAGACTTGACCCTAACGTTCCAGGAGTTTATGTTAACCTTTCTGGACAAATGGAAAGCAGTCACAAAGTAAAACTGAAACTTAGAGTTCCTTTGTCATCTTTCCTCATCTTCAGGTTTTTAAGATACTTGCCAAACTGGGCAGGAAAAATTTCTATCGAACTTACTCCAAGCAAAAATAACTTAGTCATTGCACCAACACAAGACCCATTCACTTACAGACGTAGAGGGAACAAATAAAACGTCATTCGCCGACTTTTGCAAAGACAAAGTTGACTTAGACTTTGGTTTCTCAAACTCAACACTGAAGTAAACTATTATTTCAATGCTGCTGGAACTGCTTGGGACCCAGTTAAGTTCACATGCGAAAATTTGAATGCAAGAGAATAGAAAGCAGACTTGCAGTCTATATGTTGGACCCAGATATTTCAAATGCTTTAGCTGCCAAATATATTGCAGTTCCACTTATGTTCCCTATACACCAAATATCTGTCAAAGACTTTGCAGGTGAAGTTGGAAACCAAAGTGCTGACCCAGGTGCAAGAACAGATATTGCTTTAACAACTGCAATGAAACATGCAGATACTATGTTTGTACTGTTCAGACGAACTATAAATGACTATTCTTGTTTCTACAACCCTGGTATTAAATATCATATAAACATAGATGGCAAATATTATCCAAGAGAAGAATATTCTACAGTTGAGGATATGAGGTCATACAACTTGACATTAGATGCTATGAACTTTAACAACAACTTCACAACAACCATTAACCCTGAAATGCAAAGTTCTATTATGCCATATGTGAAAGTATGGACTCATACAGGAGGTCAAAAAACTCAATATACAAATGGAGACCGTTCAAACTTTTGGCTTGGCATTCCATTTGCTGACTCAGAAGACTTTATGGGTGGTATTTCAACTGTTGGTACTGTACAAATACAATATACTGGTGACAGAGACGGTCCAGATGAATTGAGAGCAAAGAAGTTTACAAAACCAATAGCACTTTTCACGGAAGATGCTCTTTTGAAGATTCGTTCGATGAAACCTGCTGGGGCTCCTCAGATTGGCATAACGACAGCTTCCATCGAGCAGATTTTGGCAGCAGGTCAGTAAGTTGTTCTTGAACTGACTTCTCTCCGTCAAATATTGACAGTACGCCAGTTTTGACATAAATTGTATTATAAACTTCCTTTAGAAATATCTGTAAGTTTTGTTGTTATATTTTTGTCTGCTTCAAGAACTTTCACCATTTCAGTTATACCAACTTTCTTTGCTTTATGAAAATATTTTGGTTCAGCAAAGACTGCTATTCTATAACATTTTCCATTGTTTGTATAAAGAACTATTCTGTCAATGTATTTGTATTGTTTGTGTGTGTAAACTTTGTTCTGCTTCAATTCGAAGAGATACTCAAATACGTCCATCTTTTTATTCTAAGTAAAATGTCATTTCCGAAAAATAGAAGCGAGTGTTTCAAAAGGTTTAATGGCGGTGGCAGATGTGAAGTTAAATTCACCAACTCAAACAAACAGTCAAAGTGTTGTTGTCAATGTCAAAGAAAGAGATGTTGAAGTGGGGAAACCATACGAAGACGAAGATGGTATAACAATAGTTCCTGTAAAAGAACAACCAACATACCCTGAAGTTAGCAGAGACTTAAGTTCTGTTGCAGATATTCGAAACGACTACCAACAACTTAAAGACAAACTTAAAACTCAGGAGAAGATTTGTCAAGCTTTGGGTATAATGTTAAACTTGGTCGAACACAACCCTGTAAAAGTGAACTCATATGTCATCGCACCTCATGAAATTTTGAAAGAACTATTGAAACTTTTGACAGAGGCAGACGATATAAACATCAAAGAAATAGAACCCGACATTGCTTGCTGTGGTGTTTCATATAATGTCATTGACAAGATATACGTTATGAAAGGAGGTGAAACGTTGAACTTAAAATATAGTTTCCCAGACGTCATAAAAATATTTGACGACCACAACATTTCATTAAAATTTTTACTTGCTAAGTAAAAATGTCAAAACTTCTTGAAAGATGTTTGAAGAAAAATAATATAGACTTTATTTCATGTAAAGGACTTTACACACTTTTGAATGATATGAAAGACCCTGTTTTGTTTGTTCGTGTAGACAAAGGAAAGTTCTATGTCTTTACAAAATATTTGAACTTCTTAGACAGAGAACTTCAAGAAACGCCATGTGAAAGTTTAGATGAAGTTCTTCTCCACTTTCAGAAAAACTTTTAAATATATGTAAATGGCAGAAGACATAGTGGTTTATACTATTACGACTAAAAACCCTGAGTCATATAATTCTATAACAACAAACTTACAAAGTCCTCAAGGACGATATTGTAAACTAACCTTAAACACAATGACGACTAAAGCCTGTTTTGCTCTTTTGACACCAGAAGACTTTGTTGTTGTGAATGGTAAAAAATACTTCTTTGAAGATACTTACTCAGATATACCACCAACAGGTTTTGTTGACTTATTTAATACTTTAAGGACGGATGTAACATGTGCTGCAACTAGAGCAGGTTTCATTATGTTTGGATGTCCGACTGAGTTTACTATAAACGATATGAGCTATAATACAAAACTTATATCTGGTTTTTACTACCAACAGTTTCCTATAACAGGAAAAGGTGTCATACAAGGTTTGTCTGTTCCATTGACTTTAAGTACACCTATTTTATATATTGTTTCAAACTTAGGTTCAAAGTGTTATTCGAATGTCGACAGAAACTACTATGACCAAAAGATACTTATGCGTATAAACAACACTTTCTCTGCTGGTTTGCCTATTGTTCATTCGAATGCAGAGTTTTCAGCTTTAGTAAACTCAAACACTTTAGCAAACATAAACTTAACCTTAGTTGACGCAAACTTTGTTCCTGTAAAACTTTTATGTCCTATGTATTTGTCAATGACGGCAGAAAGTTTCGAATTGGAAGATGCAACTGGTGAAAGTATTGTACTACAAGAACAACTTCAACAACAAATAGCTCAAGAACAACAAATGCAACAAATGGAACAACAAAGTCAAGAATAAAAAAAATATTTTTTTTTTTTTATAAAAATGTACAGAATAGATGTTTCAGATTTTTATGACTTCCAAGCATTCAGAAATATGTGTCCATTTAGAGACTATAACAAAGCAGTCGAGAATTTGAAACGTTTAGTCATTTATGTCGACTCTGCCCCAGAATGTTATGTTATGAAAGAATGGGATGTTGTCTTTAACAAACCAAGAGCAACAATAGTGTCTGAACAAGAATGTAGACAGAAACTTAAGAAAATAAAAGTCGTACAAGTTGGCATGAAGATGTTAGATGCTTGGGATATCTTATTGTCAAAGTTAGAAGATTTTTCAGTTCGAGGTATAAAGTTTATACACCTTCTCCAAACTTCTATTCTATCTTCACTGGATATAAATATGAACAAGTAGAATGGAAAGAAAATATTATAGAAGCTTGGTTAGACCATGTCAAAGAAATTATATGCAATGGAAACGAAAGAGTCTATGAGTATATCTTATGTTGGTTTGCAAACATCTTACAACATCCAAGTGCTAAAAATGAAACTGCTCTCATTATAATTGGAAACAAGGAACTGGTAAGAACACATTCTTTACAGATATCTTATGCAAACTGTTAGAGGGCTATTCGAACCCGAATATGACAAACTTAGAAAACATCTGCGGTAAATTTAACTCCTCAATAGAGAATATGAAACTTATAGTATGTAACGAACTTCAAAGTATAGATACAACAAAGGTTTTAAACTCAGATGCTTTGAAGAGTCTTATAACAGACAAAGTTGGAGTTGTTGAAAGAAAATATAAAGACCAAAGAGTTTGTGAAAATGTTGCAAACTTCGTCATGGTTTCAAACAATGTTGTTCCGATGAAGTTAGAAAGTTCTGACAGAAGATATGTAGTTGTCAGAACGTCAGATTCTCATATGCAAGATACAGAATATTTTGACGCTTTGTCAGAAACTTTGACATCTGACTTTTACAACCACTTGTTCTCATATTTCATGACATTAGATATTTCAAAGTTCAATCCAAGACAAATTCCATATACCGAAGAGAGACAAACATTGTTAGAAGCAAACAAGAGTGTTTATGAACTGTTTATAGATGAAAACGACTTTGAGTGTTTAGATGAAAGGTCATTGTACGATGAATATAAACAATATTGTCAAGAATATGGTTATATGGCAGCGTCTAAACGAACATTCTTGGCAAATGTCAAAAATCTTTTAGATGTTCAGAACGGCGTATATACAAAGAAAAATTTTTCTGAGTAAATTTTAAAAAAATATTTTTTTATCCGATAGAAAAGATGACAAAATTCATCTCAGTAAATAAGTACATGTCAGGACTTAAAGAAGAACTAGACCCATTCGCATATTTGAATGTTTACTTCTACCATTTTGAAAAGTCTTCATTCAGCAAAGTTTGGAACATCGAACCAGTTAAGTTTGCTATTGTGACTAAAAATGGTGCAACTTTTGAAGACTTAGACATAGAAGGTTTGTTAGCAGTCAAAGAAAATTTTGACAGAAAGTTCTCAAACCTTAAAGAAGGCAAAGCATACAAACTTGTTATACCTTATGAACCAAAGAAAGCAGACGACTATGAATATTATGAGTCTAAGATAGTTGAAGTTCAAGGTAAATTGGGTAAAAAGATTTTAGAGTCTAAGCCAGTGTTTGCTCCTAAAGAGGAAGAGAACATTGACATTGACCCAGAAATGTTCTAAAAATAAAATTTTATTTTTACATGTCATATCTCACCTTCTCTGGAACTGGTTCAGGTTCTTTCTTCTCTTCTTCTACTTTCTTTTCTTTCTTTTCTCTCTTCTTCTTCTTCTCTGGTGGAGTTATGTCAAACTTCTCAGAACCATATTTTTGTAAAAGTTCTTTGTCCTTTAATAGCTCTTCTATTCTGTTTTCTATTTCATCTTCAAGAACAGCGCATGTGTCTTCTTTGCATTCTAAGAACTTTTGTTGGACTTCAGCTTTCCAATCGGCGTCATCTCTGTCAACAAGTCTGTCATTGACAAATTTTAAAGACTTCTCTGCTTAATGTTTTATGGTTCTTGTCATATTCCCAGAAACAGAACTTTAGAACAAATTCACCTTTCTTGTTTACACTATGTAAGATTTTATGGTCTACAGATGTTTTGCTGTCGAAAAGTTTGTCTCGAATATAGATAGCGAAATCGCTAGACATTTTCAAAAAGATAAAAATTTTAATTTTTCTAAAAATATGTTAGAAAAAAAGTTTGCTGACATTGACAAAAAATTTGAGAATGTTTTAAACAAGAACAAGAGGAAGTTAGAAAATGCTCAGATAAAACCTATACATGACAAGTTCTTATTTGCTCAGAATGGTATAACAGGTCTAATTGCACCACCTGGGTCGGGTAAGACTTTCACTTATCTTAAAATGGCTGCACAACAACAAGAACTAGATGAGAAGAACCCATTCTATGAGTTAGTTGTTATTTGTAGTACTTCTGGTCAATTTGACCAAACCGTCAATTCGTTCAAAGATATTATAAAGAAGTCTAAGTTAGTATGTATAAAGGATACTGAGTTGTTAGATTGGATAAAGAAGTACCAAAGAAGAGTTTTGAAGTATAATGCTATAAATGAGTATATAAATTCTAAGTTTAAAGACCCAAATGAGGAAATGCAAGAATATTAGAGAAGAAACACTTCAGAAACAAACAGAAAGAGATAGAATACATTTCGAAGAAATTGCAATCTTACGATTGGAAGACTTACCCTCATAGATGTCTTCTTATCTTAGATGACTTTGCTTCTCATCCTTTGCTTAAGAATAGAGAACAAGATATGTGTCGAATTCTTAAGAAGCTCAGACACTTTAACATCTCAGTTGTCATTTGTGTACAGACAGCAAAGAGTTTAAGTAAGGATGTAAAGAGAATACTTACTGATATCATACTTTTCCCCGGATTGTCCGAAGACGATTTCATGGAACTTATGAAAGAGTCCATGGCAGGTAAGTTTGACAGACATGAACTATGGGAGAAGTACAAAGTCATACAAGACCCTCATACTTCTTTCAGAATTCACATCTACGCGAACAAAGTTCAAATTGTAAAAAGTCAGCAAAAATAATGTTTATGTTAGAATGTTAGATCTAACATGTTTTCTAACATGTTTTCTAACATAACTATTTACAAGCGTTTTACATGGTATATGTTGCGATGGTTCATGACTCTAAACAATTTCGTGGCTTCAATTTCTTCTTTTAGTACATCGAATGTTTTAACTATGCCGAAGGTTTCTTTATACTTCTTCTTGACGTCAGATAATAGGAAATCGTCAGCTGTTGGATAGTTTTTGTTTAGAAATGTCAACATGTCCATTTTATCTTCTGCTGGTTTCTCTGCTTCTTTCTTTAAATCTGCATAGTCGTTTCGCATACGTTCTATCTCTTTGACGGAGTAGTTATATTTCCTCATTGCTGCTTTACATTTAGAACATTGTGGGTTCATTTTTGCATTATATTCTGAAACCTTACCTGCTAAAACAACTAAGGCGTCAATGGTTTTCTTCATCTCGAACATAGCGGGTTTTATTTGTTCGTTCCATACCTTACCCCTACTATCTTTATCTCTTATTTCCCAAACACATTTTGCAACTAATGAAACAAAGTTGTCGTAGGTCTTAAATTCTTCGGATTTGTAAAGGTCAGAGATGTTCTTATATACCATGTCGCAATCTTTGTCCATAACCTTATGGTTGCAATGAAAACCAAGGAATTCATAATTTACCTTTCGTATGAACTTCTTTATTTCTACTGAGTCAGTCAGTCCGACTTCTATTTCATCGAATTCTGGAATAGTGAGTTTTTGTTGTTGGATTTCAGGAAGTTTAGGTAAATGGTCAATAATATCCTGCATTTCATAAAGATACTGTTCATTTGTTTCATCTTTCGCACTACAGTCTAAATTACTTGTTAAAAGTTCTTGCTTTATCTTCTGGATTTTTGTTTCGAAAGTATATGAAGAAGGAATGAAGCTTTTCATCTCTACTAACATTGAAGTTGGGTTCATGACTAACGAGTTTGGTGCTGTTGTTGCTAACATGTTCTTACAATAAAAATAAAAAATATTTTTTTAAAAAAACCAACTTTATTTTTTATTTCGGGAAAATTCATGATTTTCGAGAGTTTTAGACCATGTTAGAAAACGTGTTAGAAAACATGTTAGATCTAACATTCTAACATAAATTATATTTTTGGTGTAAAATTCATGAAAATTCAAGAGTTTTAGACCATGTTAGAAAACGTGTTAGAAAACATGTTAGATCTAACATTCTAACATAAACATTATTTTTTGGTGTAAAATTCAAATTGTAAAAAGTCAAGCTTGAAAAATGTAAGTGTTTAGTCTTAGTAAGATGGTAGCTTCTTAAAGCAAATACCATTGCTGAGTTTTATGTACGTGAAGAGAAGTACAATGAATTCAATTACGAGTACAATTGCAATGACAACTAAGGCAACTATTTTTGTCTTTTGCCAGCAAGGGTACTTCTTCTCTTCCAATGGTTCGGCAGAACTATACTCACTCATGAGAAATGCCAAAACGGTTTAATAGAAAAAGTGTCATTTTTTCATGTCCGAAGACTCGAAGGTGCAACACTTCCAAAATACCGACGAACTCAGAAGAGCAGCATGGCAGTATGTTCTTGACAACTTCTTTGAGTTCTCCAGGTACACCTTGGAAAATGCTGAAGAACTCCGACACAGAGAATTTGGAGAAATTGCACTCCAATACTACCTTGACAAACAAAGGGTAAACAAAGGGTAAAATAAGACTAAAAACTTAACGTTTAAAAAGTGACATTTTTAATGAGCTCCGAGTCACCGAGAAAACTTGGTCAGATGTTAGCAGCTTACTTCCCTGAGGAGGATGGAAGCGTTACATACATAAGGTTCAAAAACAACGAACCTGGAATTGCGTACAAAATTCGCAATTACATGACCATGGAAGAGTACGAAAGGTTCCTACAAGAGAAACCAGCTCTAAACAACTCAGAAAAAAAGAAAAGTTTAACTCGTAATTGTTTATTTTTTTACTTGTATGGGCAAGCTGCAAGAATGAAGTCGACTATCTCGGTCTTTGTCTTGACCAGTTGGACTGCTCTTGCGAGTACGTCTGTTTTACGGTCTCCAGCTGGTGTCTGACCTTCGTAATTGCGCATGTTCTTGAGAGCTCCAACTGTAAATGGTTGTAGGATGAAGAGTCTCTCAGACTGCTTGAGGTAGTCTTCACGGTCACGAACCGAATCTGTGGTACGAGTCGAATCGGTCGATTTGAGGGAAGAGACTGAAAGCCTGTCTTCTTCCATTGGGGTAGTAGCATACTCTTTGCGTAAGCGGTTCAGACCTTCCTCGAACTCTTGGTCTCTCTTGGATTGAGATTGGAATTGTGGGGCAGGGTTTTGCATAAACATCCAAGGGTTGGGGAAGTAAGGCATAGGCTGAGGAGGAGGGTAGTTCGGGAAGCCTTGTGGTAGGTAGTAACCTTGAGGTGGAAATTGGTAGTAATTTGGTGGAGGGACTTGCTGGAACTGAGGTTGCTGAGGTGCAGGGGCTGGTGCTTTAGGTTCCTCTGGTTTGGGAATGGGCTCGGTTGGTGGTACGTCGGACATCTGTTTGTGGCTTAACCGTCGGAAGGAAAAACCTTTCCTGTCGGAAGGAAAAACCTTTCCTGTTGGAAGAAAAAACCTTTCCTGTCGGAAGGAAAAACTTTTTCTGAAGTTCGACCAAAAGTTCTCAATTTTCGAAAATTTGAATGGTTTACGGACGGACAACTGGAAGAGTCCTTCCTGTCGTCGGGAAATTTTTTCCAGTTGTCGGGAAAATATTTTCCTGTCGGATGGAAGGACTCGGAATACCAGAAGGATTTGACGAGGCAATTTACCTTATAGAGATAAATGAAGTTGTTAAGCAGTACTTGCGCAGGGTAAAACCAAGGTCAAGTTCACCACTATTTCTGGAAGGTCTACACTTCAGCTCGAGACTTCGACTGGAATTCCAATTCAAATACCAGACGGGACAGCCTACGATGGCATAAAGGACGCCAAAGAGAAGCTCTTGTTAAGTTCCTAAACAAACGTCCTTGGATAAAAATACCAAACAAGGAGAACCCCCTACCCCATATGAAATTGGCAATTCAGTCTCTCCTTCACTTCTCGGGTCAGCCGTTCTACATAACCTGTGAAGGCGACATCCAACCAGTTCAGTCAACCTTAACGTTTTGAGTAAAAACATTTTTTTCATTTTTTGAATGAAGCAAGTTAAATTCGTCCCACACCAATCTCAATGGACCGATGAAGAGTTTCAAGCTATGGTTGAAGGTGTTGAGAACGACATAGACGGCGAACTTGAAGGAGCTCAAACCACAATTGCAACCAAAATTGCACAAGTCAAGGAACAGATAGCTCCACTTAAAGCTACCAAAGCTACTCTTGACCTCATGGATAGTTACCGTTTAGATGTCAAGAGTGGAATAAGACAATTAAAATTAAAACTTCTAAACTACGAAGCTATACTCCAAAAGTTAGCAGAAATGAGAAGACTTTACCAGAGCTACTTACATGTAAGGGACTTACCTTCAAGCAGTCCGACCAAAGATGAATTTTCTGACATTGTCCCAATTTTGTCCGAAAGTCAGCTCAGATGTTTCGAACTGCTCCCAACATATCCAGAATATGAACGTTTGCCTGAACTCTTCCGCAATCTCAAAAAACGTTTTTTGGTTCTCATGTTCGAAACTTTTATCGGAAGAGACAACAAACGTTCAGAAGAAGAACAAGATATTATTTTAAACTTGTTGTATGACTTAACCGTCATAACAAGCTTTTTGAAGTAAAACCGTCATTCTCAAACCACTTCATTTTTTCGATGTCCGAACAAGCACCGAAGCCGAACACAATGGCAGATGTCCTTTCAATGTTGCCAGACAAGCGCCCAGTTCAAATTCAAATTTTGAATTTGAAAGCTCATCTGACAAACACCGTTAAGACTCTCCAAAGTAGTCTTATGGAAGAGATGAAGGGACTTAAAGCCAATGTCCTCACGAACCATGCTTCCAATGAGAAAGTCCTGAACGATTTCGCGGAAACCTTGCGCATTTACGCGAGAGAGAACCGAGACCTTGCCAGACTCATCTACCGTTTCTTCGAAGAGATAGACGCCATCTGGAAGGTACTCGGAAAGGACAGAACCTCCAACACCGTAATTCGTGAGTACCAAATTGAAGAAGGAATTTTCGAGGAAGAAGAGAAACACGAAGAAGAAGAGAAACACGAAGAAGAAGAGGAAGAAGAGAAACACGAAGAAGAGGAAGTTTGGGCAACCCTTGTTGCCGATGACGCTTACGAAATTTCCCAACCCTACCCATACCAAATCCGCAACAAGGAGACAGGCAAGGTTCTTACCCCAGTCCTCAACAACTTGGGACACTTGAACCTTAACCTTCGGAATCGCGGTTCAATCTCCATGGGCAAGCTTGTCGCAATTCAATGGGTTCCAAATCCAGACAAGAAGACGAAGGTCAGACACATTGACGGTGACAAGCTCAACAACCGTAAGGAGAAC